TACTTATACTTTTCAATTAAAATAACGTAATTTTTTTAAGAATTTTGGGGAAATATTAAGTGACTTTCTCGCTTAAGATTGAAAAGGCAAAATAATGCCAATTTCAATCCATGTTTTTCAAAAACAAACTAAATTCTTTCAAACAGTACAAATTATTGTCGACTTTGCTCTAATTTAATGCTTTTCGGTTAAAAATAATAAATAAATAAATAACAATAAACTAAATCAATTGAAACAAAGCAAAATATAAATTGATTTTGATGTATTTGGTGAATTTTTTGACGAAAGTTTGTGTAATATGTAAGTTTTTTGTTCAAGAAAGGTACTAAATGTTTTGAAATAGGTCAAAATATCGTTAATTTATTATTTAATTTGCCAATTTTAAAATTTTTTGAAATAAGTGAATTTTTTGCTAAAACTGGAGATAATATTGCAACTTGATGGATTTTAGGATTTTTTTCGATCCAATTTGCTGTTTTTTGACGAAATCTTGCGTAAACATTACTAAAATTCTTTAAAACTGGTCATTATGACATCAATTTTGACAAAGTTTTTAAATTTTTAAGGCTTGTTTTTACAACATCTTGTCAAATAAGTAACTTTTTTGCCCAAAATTGATAAAAACAAGGTGAAATAACTTCAATTTAGTGATTCTAGCAGTGGAAATTTACGACAATTTTTATAAAAAATTGTGTTTTTTTGTATTGTTTTGACAAAATTTTGGAAAATAAATAAGTCAAAAAAATTGTAATATAATAATAATAATAAATTTCCAGCACACATTTTAATGTACATAGATATAATGGAAGATTACAAAAGATGGTATAAAGTAAAAAAAATAGTCTCAGATGGCGTTACTTTTGATCTACTCGTACTTTAGCTTTACTTTGACAAAATTTTGCAAAAATATGAGTTTTTGGTCAAAAATAATAAATAAAAATTAACTAAATCAATTGAAACAAGGCAAAATAGCATTGATTTTGATGTATTTTAGTGAATTTTTTTATCTTTTTTGACGAAATTTTATGTAATAAGTAGTGTTTTGTCCAGAAAATGTACTAAATGTCTTGAATTAGGTCAAAATATCCTTAATTTATGAGTTAATTTGGCAATTTTAAAACTTTTAACAAATTTTTCGAAATAAGTGAATTTTTTGCTAAAACACGAGAAAATATCGCAATTTTGAATTAATTTGTTAGATTTTAGGATTTTTTTTTATCCAATTTCCTGTTTTTTGACGAAATCCTGCTTAAACATTACGACATCAGTTTTGACAAAGTTTTTAAATTTAAATAACTTTTTTGCCCAAAATTGATAAAAACAAGGTGAAATAACGCCAATTTACCAGTTCTAGCAGTCGAAATTAACCACAATTTTCATAAAAATTTGTGTTTTCTTTGATTGTTTTGACAAAACTTTGGAAAAGTTTTTCGCTCAAAAACAAGCTAAATTTTCTGAAATTCTAATATAATAATAATAAATTTACAACAGACATTTTAGTCTATAATGGAGCAGTACAAAAGATGACACAAAGAATAAAATACTCTCAGATAGTTACTTTTGACAAAATTATGCAAAAAAGTGAGTTTTTTGCTCAAAAATTAACTAAATCAAACGAAAGAAGTCAAATGTGATTTATATTTTGACAAAAATTTTGCGAAATAAGTAAAAAACGGGCTACATTTTTTGAAAAAAGCCACAAACAACATCAGTTTTTATCTAATTTAGCAATTTTAAGCCCAGTTTTGACCACACTTTACGAAATAAGTAAATTTTCATCTAATTTGTTAATTTTACTGAGGAAATCTCGATCAAATTTGGTGTTTTTTTTGTCTTTTTTGGCAAAATCTTACAAGTTTCCCGCTCAAGATCGAACGAAACAAAGCAAAGTAGCACCTATTTCAGTAACTTTTTGTATTTTTTTCACAAGAACTCACGAAATAGATGAGTTTCTTCTCAATAATGTGAGCTTTTGCGTAAAAATGAACTTAATTTTTATTTCAGTGAATTTTTTATGAAGTAAGTTTTTTGTTCAAAAAAGTCACAAAATGTCTTGAAATAGGTCAAAATATCGTTAATTTATGATTTAATCTGCAAATTTTGACTAGCTTTTTACATTTTTATTTTAATTTTACTGTACTTCAAGTAGTGCTCCAAAATTTGGAGCAACTAAATCCAACAACACATGCCAAAAAACGTTAATTTTGGCACAATTTGCCCTTTTTTAGCTTTTTTGATAAAATTTTAGGTGATAAAAATAGATTCTCGCTTAAAAATAAAAGCCATTTCAAAGTCAAAAATCTCACTTTTTTAATTGTGTGAAACGACCTTGGAATCGGTTAAAAATTACTCAAATCGTTGAAAATTGTATTAATCAAAGAGCCATTAATTTAATGACTTTCGGATAGACTTTGTTGCATAATTAGAACCTTGTTGTTACATCCGCACAATTAAAAACGAATTTTTTTTGTTTGCAAAATAGGGCACTAAACCTTGACATTTTTTCATTTTGGATATAAACCTTTCTCGGTTTTTTGTGAGCCATCACCATGAAGCTCCTCATTCTTGTCGGAATAATATTTTTCACCGGGTCTTTGGCTGTAAAAATTTTAAAAATTAAAAAATTAAAAATTAAAATTTTTCAAAATTTTAGGTGGACCAAGACTTTGTCGAAAAATTCATGCAAAAAATGGAGAAAATCGGAGAGGTTTGTGCCAAAGAAACACACGCCACTACCGGTAGTTAGCGCCTAAAATAACCCAAAAATAATTTTTTTTTTCAGACGACGTCACTGATCTTATTGAGCAAAAAGACCCAAAAACCCACGAAGGAAAATGTTTGATTTTTTGCTACCATAAAAAATTCAACACGATGAAGGAGGATGGTTCTCTTGACAAAGTCGGCTCAGTTTTGGCCTTAGATGACCTCAGAAACGCCGATTTCGAATTGTATAAACAGCTTTTGGCCGTTTTTGTCACTTGTGGAGACAAAGGTACTTAACTGAAATAATTTTTTATTTGTAATTAGAGTGATTTTAAGCAAAAATTTTTGACGATCCTTGCGAAACGGCCACTGCTCTCACACTATGTGGGAGAGATGAAGCCAAAGCTGTAAGTTGGCAATTTTGCAAAATTTCGTTTAATTTTTTTTTCTAGTTGGGCTTACAGGATTCGATGTTTGGGTAAACTTAATTCGGGAATGATTTATGTTGCTTTATGAATAAAAATAACGAACATTGCTTGTGTGTGTTATTTAATTAATCAGCAAATTTTTGAAAAAAATACCCAAAAATTTCTGAAAATRTTTCAAAATAACATCTAATTTGGCTTCTCGCTCAAAATTGAGTGAAACAAGCCAAATAAAGCTAATTTTGATTTWTTTGACAAAATCTGACATTTTCGGTCTTGTTTTAACGAAATATTTTAAAAAAAGTGATTTACTCGTGTAAAAATTAATTAAGTTGAACAACAAAAGCCAAAATAACGTCAATTTCGATCCAATTCGTCTTATTTCTGGCTCAAAATTTTTTGAAACAAGCTATTTAGAAAATCAATTTTACTCTAATTCAGTTTTTGTGGCTTTTTTTCATGAAATTTAACGAAATAAGGAAGTTTTTCGTTCGAAATGTTAAACAAAAAACAAAAAAAAACGTTAATTTTGATACAATCTTTTTTTTGAAAATTATTTTTGATTTGAGGCTTGTTGTAACGAAATTGTTAGCTTTTCTTGGCAAAATTGTACGAAATAGGTGAGTTCTATGTACAAAAATGAGTTAAATGTATTAAAACCGTGCAAGTTGGCCTTAATTTTGAATTTATTTGTTTTTTTTGACGAAATTTTGCTTAAAAACGAGCTAAATTTTTCGAAATATCATCAAAAGTTTCAACAAATAACTAACTTTTTCGCTCAAAATTGACGAAATCTTAGAAAATAATAAGTGACTTTTTGGCTCAAAAGTGAGCTGAATCTTCAGATTAATGTCAATTTTGATAAAATTTGTACGTTTTTGGGGTTTTTGAGTGAGTTTATTACTTAAAAACAAACCAAATCTGTTCAAATATTATTATTTTGATCTAATTTGATGTTTTTTTGGCGTGTTTTAGCGAAGTTAAACACGAGCCAAATTTATGTGAATTTTGACCAATATACTGTTTTTTGTCTTTTTTTTTGCTCAAAAATGGACAAAATTTTTTGAAACAAGCTATTACAGAGTAATTGAGATTTTTTGATAAAATTTTACGAAATAAGAAAGTTTTTTGTTGAAAAAGTCGAATAAAACCAGCCAAAATAACGTTTATTTTGAATCAATTAGTTGTTTTTTGAAATATTTGTCAAAATTTAAAAAAAACGAACAAAACTACTAGAAACTTACCACTACAAAGACAATTTTGATTTAAGACAAAGTGAGTTTTTTGCTCGAAATTGTACAAAACAGACTAAAATAGCGCCAAATGTGGTTTAATCAAAACAAATTATCTTTTATTAACTAYAGAAGTTAGTTTTTGCGCAAAAAACGAGTTAAATACATCGAATTTTTGATTTTTTAACGAAATTTTGCCTACACCAGCTGTTTTTTAACAGTCAAAACCAACATAAGTTTTGATCTAATTTAATAATTTTAAACTCGTTTTAAAAAAATCTCATCAAAATTTCTTGCTCAAAATTAAGCGAGCTGCTCAAAATAACACCAATTTCAATCTATAATTTAATGAATTTTTGGTCATTTTAGCCAAATCTTACAAAATAAGTGAGTTTCTTAAATTTTTTAAAACAAGACTAATTAACGTTAATTTTGATGTATTTTTTGACAAAATTTTGCGAAATAAGTAAGTTTCTCGTCTCTTCTCTCGAAACAGGTCAAAATGTAATGTAATTTGTAAAATTTTTAGTTTTTGTG